GTTGAAATCATGTTGAACTGAAGTTGATTCCAAGTTGATTCCAACTTGATTTCAACATGATTTCAACATAATTTCAACTTGATTTCAGCATGATTTCAACTTGATTCCAACTTGACTTCAAGTCAGATGTTAGGTGATTATAACTGAATTTGAAATTCATCGAAACGAAGCTTGACAATATTATAATCGACATTTTTTAATAAAATTTGTCGAATTCAACAAATTTGGAATTAAATTTTGTCGAATCGACAATTTTTTTTTCGACAAATTTTATCGACAAATTTGTAATCGACATTTTTTGTATTCGACAAAATTGATGTTTCCCGGTCTAAAAAGAATACTGAAATATCAACTTAAAAATTTGAATTCTTCCAGATCGTGACAAATGCTAGTTAGAAATTCTCACAGACACCTTCACAAAATCGTGACACACGTATCTATACGATCACAGATTATATATCAATAACATTACCTTATGACATATGAACTATTTCCTTTTTACATTTCTGGAGAACTAAAAACATGATGAAGAAATGTGTTGAAAAATTGATAGAATAAAAGAATCTCTATGTAATTAACTAGAGCAGAGTCATAACATGTTTCAAATTATAATCCGACGAAGATTGTACTAACAGGTTTTTTTTTCTCCTAGGCTGCAATGTGTTCAACGTTTAAATAAAACATTAAATAAACATTTTGAAAAACGACCCGAAGATAAAATAAAATTTGAAAGATTTAAAATTGAAAATCTCGATAACTTTAATTTAGTTGAATTATTTTTTATAAAACTTCTTCGTATACCTAATTATAATTTTAAATTAAAATGTTATCAATATTGTGATGAATTACAATCACAATTAAATTTATTAAGTCAATCAATTGATCGCATTATTCATGGTATTGAATTAATTTTACATCATGAATATTTACCTGGTATATTTCAACTTTTATGTTATTTATACAATATTGTATCAAACAAATGTGTACCTGGTCTTGATTTAATATCATTAGTTGATGCGCTAAATTCACCAACAAATCACATAAATAAAACTGTTGCACATGTTCTTGCAGAAATTCTTAATGAACATTATTCAAATTATTTAATAAATATAATTAATGATCAAGAATTGATCGAATTAAAGAAATTAATTTTAATAAAATATGAAAAACTTTATATAGAAATACGTGAAATATATCAACAATATCAACAACTTGAATATGAATATATAGATATTAAAAATCAATATGAATTACCATTATTTATTTCATCAATGTTATTAGAAGCAAAAAAACAATTTGAAAAATTATTTCAACAAGAAATTCTTATAAAAAAAGGTGAACAAGATTTAGCTATTTATTTTTGTTCGAATGATTTAACAATTGATATTTGTTTATCAACTGTTGGTCAATTTGTTGATAAACTTCGTCTTGCCCATATTGAAAATATGAAAGAACAAAAACAAAAAGTTTCAATAACCAATTATGAACGTAAACATTCCGTACTATTGCCAATAAAAAAAAAATCTTCGTTTTTATCATGTGTTTAAATAGAACTTAATTCTGTGTTATTCGCTGTTTTTATATGTTCGTTGAAAATGTTTTTTTAAATATTTTTCCGTGTTTTTTTGGTTGTTATATTGTTTGTTTTTTATCGTGGATTTTTGCATGTTTTGCAATGTTTTTTTTTGGTCTTAACTAACGGTTTAGTTGTTTTTTTTTGTTCGATGTTATATACGTTTTAAAAGGAAAAAATATATATATATAAAGAAAATCAAAGCATGATACAATTTGCTTGTCATTAATTTAGTTTTAAAATAGATTTGATCATTATAAAAGAGAGAAAACAAACAGACAAAAAAAAAAAAAGAAACAAGCATGCATTGAGCAATTAAAGGACAAGAAAATTTTCACATATTACAATCGTTTGGATTGAGTTAAACGTTGAAAAACACTACTGTTAATTGGATTTGGTTTACGTAAATCAAGTGTACTTGTTGATGTTTTTCGATTAGTATGCAAACCAGATGATGGAAGAACAGTAGTTAATAGTGTTTTATTTGTAAGAGCTTTTTGATGATGCCAAGAAGATGGTGGTTTTCGAAGATGTTTCGGTGATGCTATTGATGTTGATTCAATATCAGTATTTGAACTAACTAATCGTTGTGTTTTTGGTGATGATCGATTAGATGATGATGATTCATTATTTGTTGTAGTTGACATCTGATAAGCACGTAATGGTTTTTCATTTGGTCGACTAAATGATGAACGAAGAATTTGACTACTGTTAAGAAAAAAATTTGGTGGAGAACGAGTTTTAGTTAATGGTGAAGATTTTGGACTATTGATCGTTGTTGTTGTTGAAACATTTTGACATGAACTTGCATGAGCAAGACGAGAAGAAACTTTACGAATTATAGGAGAATATGAACGAAATGATGAATCTGTTATAGAATGAAGATTACGAATTTTATTTTTAGGTTTCATTGAAGATATACGATGATTAGTCATTGCTGTTGTAGTTGTCGTTGTTATAGTAGTAAGAGTTGATGATGATGAAACTTCATCAGGTTCTATTGTAGTTTGTGATGTTAAGGTTTGAGATAATGATGATGGTGAAGAATTATTAAGAGTCGTTTTGGTTGTTTCATCAGTATCTTTTTCAGTCCAAATTCGTCGAGATACAGCACAACGTTGTATATGTCGACTTGATCGGATACCATTAGCTGTATTATTATTATTATTATTATTATTATTTGTTGATATTGATCGTAAACTTTCAGCTGATGGTGTACGTTTTGTAAATAATGTTGTATTTTGTTGATTTTGTTGACCAGTTAAAGTAAATGTTGGATAACTATAAGCTGATGTTGATGTTTTCAATAAACTTGCTGATCGACCATTAGATGATGACGTTCGTCTATTATTACGAATATTACTATCGTGACTTAATCGACGAGTTGAACTGAATGTAAGACGTCGTGTAAGTTCATCAGCAAGAGTTTCATCAGTTGATATAAATTTTGTTTCATTAATTTCATTTGAATTTGTCTCAAGTGGACATGATCGTGATGTTGGTTCAACAGTTTCACTTACATTTGATTGAGTTTCAAAACCTTCATCAAGTGTTTCAGAATCAGATAATAATGATGGTATTGTAGGTAAACAACTATTTTCATCATTTAAAGTATCGACAGGTAATGATAAACTTGATGATTGTTGACTATCATCATCAATAGAATTTGGTAATGACGATAACTGAAATCAATGAATCTTTCAAAAAAATTTTCTTTTCTACAAGATTAAAACAAACTGTCCTTCTTTTTTTTTTCTAATAAATGAATAGAAAAATTTCCTTTGAAACATTTAGAAAGCTTATTTTACTTAAAATCTCAAAACTTTTCGATATTACTCGTTACTCTTCATGTAAACAATTTTAAATAGTAATTTTAAAAAAATTGATCATCATCTAGTGAAAGATCTTTTAATTATTCTCAAATATTTCTTTTTCAATTACAATACAATTCTTTAAAACAAGAAGTATTTTCCTATTCATTTATTAATACTTACTTGTTTTCAATTACCATGAAATGGCAATTTTTTGATGTTTTCTTGTTAAAGAAATTCTAATTCCCAAGAGTTATAACTAAAGTGCTAATACTAAGCAATGTTAAAGAATAATCAAGCATGCATCTGTGTTCATATATTATATGCAACTATGTTGTTTTTTTTTTGCTTCAGAATATCAACCATTCATACAAAATACGGTGTTAGCAACTACATGAAAATAACGAAATAAATCGAGAATAAAGCTTATAATGAACCAAAAAAACGAGAAACGGTTGAAACAAAACGAACAAAATAGAAATATAATGTTTATAAATGAAAAGATCTCTTTCTCAAAAAAAAAGCCAACAATACAACATACTACTGTTTCACAAAAAAAAAAAACTAAAAAGAAAAAGAAGCACTAGAAAACAAATCAAATCACTAATAAAGTTGTTTCAATAATCTTTCGTTATGATGTTAAAAACAAATCATGAATCCATGAAAAGAACATATAAAGGAGAAGAAAAAAAAAACAAGAAGAAGATCAATTAGAATCACGTACAATTCCATGATGTATAAAGTTCATTTGTTGATTGTAGTAGTCGTCTAATATCGAATGTGTGACGTGATAAAAAAGGTTATCTTCTTAGATTGAAGGACAAAATGAAAAATACAAACAGTTTCTAACAACAAAAAAATAGAGATCGTTGATTATCATTTTCCTTTTTTTTGTTTCTATTTTCATGGCCACATTTTTGATGAAACCATTATCAATGTTGAATACCAAATACGATGAAACCAATTCGTGTACCAATGAAATAACTATAAAAAGTAGCAGAAGCAAACAAGACCAACCAACAATAACAAACAAAAATATAACAAAAAAAAAACAAACAAATAAACTGGAAAAACAGCAAAGAAGAAAACAAAAGATTTTAATCAATTACTTATAGGAATCAAAGATGAAAAAATAATATATGTTAGTTAATTAAAGACTAATGATATATTGGAGTTTTTAAGATAAGCTTGTATATACTAGATTTTTTTACCTCTGTAGTATTTTGAATATCAGATGATAATGATGATGATGATGTCATTGGTGTTAATGTTGATAAATAATGAGAATTTTCTTTATTATTTTCATTTTCATTATTGAAATATCTTAAATGTTGAACATTTGTTATTGGTGGTGTGATAGAATTATTATTTTTATATTCAACAGATTGTATTGTATCATTTGGTGTTGATTGATCATTCGATGGATCAAATAAACGTCTTATTGGTGTTGTTAAATAAAATGATGGTTGTATTTCACATACAGATATAACACGAGCTGTTGATGATTCATTCGATGGTAATGAATGATCATCATTAATATGATTATTATTATTATTATTATTATCATCGAGAGAATTGATTTCTTCTGTAGTTGTTGTTGTTGCTATTGAACAATCCATTTTTGTATCATTATCATCTTCTTGTTCATGATTTATTGTTGGTGAAAGAAAAACATCATCCTAGGAAAAAAAGAAAATTATTGAAAAAGAATTAAAATGAAATAATTTACTGATTGTTGATCTTGTATTGTTGTTGTACATATTGGAAGTGCATTAAATGGTCGTTTAGTAAGAACTGTTTTTGATGTTGGTGAATGACCACGTTTACGTGGTATTGCATTTGGTAATAAATTTTGTGTACGAATTACTGTTGTTGTTGCTGTTGTTGTTATTGATTCCATTGGTTCTTGTTGTTCATCATTGGTATATGATATATCACGTGAAGATCCACAAAAACGTTCACGTGAAGTTTTATTGACTTTAAATCGTTGTCGTGCAGTTGTTGGTGTTAATGGAACATTAAGATGATCACGAAATATATTTGTATCTGAACCATATTGATTTTGAGAATTTCGTAATAATCGTGTTGTTGTTGGTGTTTGAACAATTCGAGTATCATATGAACGTTGTTGTTGTTGTTGTTGTTGCTGTTGTTGTTGTTTTAATAATAGTTCATTACGACGATTTTGTTCAACATTTTGCATATGTGCAAGACGAAGTTTATCAATAAATTGTCCAAGTGTTGAAAAACATGTTTCAGTTGATAAATCCCATAAACAAAAATAATTTGATAAATCTTTTTCATATGTTTTTATTTTATTTTCATCATCAAATAATTTTGTAAATATAACTTGTATATCAACAAGTGTAGTTTTTATATGTTCAGGTAAAATAATTAATTGTTGTTGTAATTCTCTTAATGTTGTATTTAATTGTTTATAACGTGTATATAATAAACGTATATCAATATAAATAGGTATATATTTAATTGATGATAAATCTTTTAATTTTAATAATATTTGATTATCAAATATATTTAATAATGTTGGATATTGTTCTTCTAATAAATGACAAAGTACATGTGCTATTGTTGTATTTTGTTTTGGAGTACGTGTTGATAGCACAGATAAAAGAGAATCAAAATGAAGACCAGGAATTGTTTTGCCTGTTATACTATTGTAAAGTAAACAAAGTAAATGAAGAATACCTGGTAATTGTTCATTATTTAATATAACTTGAACACTTTCAAGTAGATCATTGATATGTTTACTCATACGTTCAAGTTGTGTTGGTGCTTCTTCACGAAATTTTAAATAAATTAATTTAAATTCATATGCTGGTACACGAACAAGTTTAACAAAAAATTGTTCTATAAGTACCAAACCATGTGTTGAACCTTTATGGGCTAATACTCGTGCTTTATCTTCTGGTCGTTTATCAAATTGTTTATTTAAAGCAGTAACAGCATCAAGCCTATATATCAATAAGAGAAATATTTTGTAGTTTAATTATAAGAATCTTATGAAAAGTGTATAACTATATCTTCAAATGTCGAAACATTCAAAATTCGAGGAAAGTTCTTTTTTTTTGTTCATGGTTGTATAGAGTTCGTAGAGTTACCTATAAAAATGGTGTTTTGATTGTGAAACTTAGGAAAACTAGGT